GTTAAACTCTCTTCAGATCCAGTCGGTGATCGCGACGACTAATGTATCCTTCAACTACTACGTTGATTTACTCCGATTTCTTCGAAACCAAGCTTCTCGAACAAAACATCTTGTTTCAGCTTACCTGTGTTGTGTGTAGCTTGCTTATGAAGAGCCCCGGTGCAAAACGTGTCACGAAGACTTTCCCTCAAAACAAACGTTGCGACTCTATTTGCCGACAAATGAACACATGTGGCCTCTAAGTTTTAAAGAAGGCACTGTCGAGCGTCAGAAAAATCCACGAATGCCAAATATACTCACTAACAGTTGCTCGGTGAAGGACAAATTAACCTCCAGACAATCCTGGTGCAGACTCGAACCCGCCGAGTTATCAGCGGTTTAATTAATTGTTACGGTGTTTGTTTTCTCCCCCTAACTTAAGTAATGTTCACGTAGTAAAAGAGGGTAGTGGACAAGATTGCGTGTCGGAGTGTTCTGCGATCGACTCCGGGTGGAAAGTAGTTTGCAATTTTTTTTTCCTTTCTTTTTTCGTTGTTTTTAGCGATACAATAAATAAATGCTCTGTGTTTATATCATTTCGCTCGCTATATGTACATTTACCATACCGTAACTGTACTTAAACGACATCCGTTTCTGTAAAATCCATACGAAGTCCGCATCCAGTGAGAACTTGTGCTGTTCATCGATTTTACGACCCTCGATGTTCTCATTTTCGGTGGCCGAGTCTTCTTTAACTTATATATTTTAATTTAGACCTTTAAAACAGCTTCTTGTAATTAAAGATCAACAGCAATTTAAAAGTAACCCGCGAGCGTACCTCATTTGCATAATGTTTACAGCCCATCGAGCGATGCGCAATTTACGATTTAAAAAGGTTGCATTGCCTTCATGGAAACTAATATTTCTTTTACAAAAATTTCACTCAGTAGAACTTTATAGGGAAAAAAGGTTAAAAATCTGTAGCGAAACAAAAAATTAAGTCAAACTACTCTGCTGTTCCAGTTTGATGCTGAAACAAACCATTTGTCTTGATATACCGAACAAACGTATCTCGAAAGCAGAAAGGAAGTCGATTTTTTCCCGAGACATAAACAGAAGTATCGCGTTACATTCACCATATATGCAAATTAGAATCACGCTTTTTAACCTCAACGAAAACGCTGCAAAACAATTGCATTTACATTTGGATCCCTGCAAAGTTGCCCAGCCGTCACATGATCTCTACGCCACGTAGGATTACTCAATACAAATAAGCGATCGGAATAAACGAGATGCCAAAGGTAAAACTGGCGATCGGAAGGTTAATGTAACACTGGCCTCGAATTTCTAGTATACTTCAGAATTTCTTACGATACCCTCTAAATTGTTTTTCTCCCAAAATCCATCTTCAGGATCTTCGAAATCGTTTTCAATTTGTTCTAGATGAGAATCTCGGCCATTTCGAAGCAAATTCATTTGGTCGCGCTAAAATCGTCATGCAGGCAGGCCATATTGCTGCATATTATAATTGGGGAGTATTTTTTGTTTCGTTTCGAAACGGTATTGTTTTCAGTTCAGGGGTGAACTATTTACATAGTCATTTGTAATATCCAATCAGAGTAAAGTTCGTAATTGTTAATGTAAATACGGCGGCAAAATTTCAGCCAAACCTCGGTGCATCGCAACAAAATGTGTCATTTGCAACATTTCAGTGAAACTCTCGTTTCTCGGTATTATCTTACACAAGAATACTGCGAACTGGACTTGACAGTGATAGTGAAAAAGAAATATATATATTTTCGAAGTAGAGACACCGCCAC